GGTTCATTCATTCTAGATAACTTGCACATTCATGTCGCTGGAAATAATTGTTCTGCACACTCATATATTAGTAAATATGGATTGTTTCATTCAAAACTCATTGGGTGATATCTCAATAATATTAGAATATCAGGATGCAATCACTATCAAAATGCCTAACTGAAAGAAAGAAGTTGGCAACATGAGCTTTCGTAGACTCAAATCTACCTCCTCAGATGAATTTAAATGCACCTGAGGAAGTAGACTGAAGTCTACGAAAGCTCACGCTGCCAACTTCTTTCTTTCAGTTAGTCTCAAAGGTTCTACAAGATCTGACTCTACAGACTAACATGGCTATATCTTTGAATTCTATCAAAATGTTGAGTTTTAGATTAGACAATAATGTAATGGGGCATGAATGTGTAAGACAAAGAGGAATGAAGGATGAGAAGCAGAAACAGAAAGTTCTCTCAGGTTCAACTACGGTACCCAAAACCTAGCCTAGGGGTCTTATCTAAGCTCCTCTTTCTCTTTCTGAACTTTCTGTGGTCATCTTGCTGCTTGGAGCTCATAAACTCTTGATTATAACATCAGTTGTATTTATGTGAGTTAAACGTTTTCCTTAAAATATATATCAGGGGTAGGCAACCTTTCCCCTTTAAGGGCCAAGGGACTTCAGCTCCCAGAATCCCAGGAGCTATTGGCCAACATGGGACTATTGGCCAACATGGCTGAGGCTTCTGGGAGCTGAAGTCCCTCGGCCCTTAAAGGGGAAAGGTTGCCTACCCCTGATATATATATTAATAATCCAGGATTCAAATTCTACAATAATTCTGCTAGAGGTCAGGAAGATTGCAAAGGTTCAAGTCCACATCATTATGACACATGGTACCAATTTTCTCCCAACTTTATATTTCTAGACAATTCGTCACTACTTAGATCCACTTTGGCACCAGCTCGGAACGAAAACCAAATCTTTGGTCCAAGACTTGAACATCCTCCGTACTTTGCTGTGGTATTTGACTCAGTATGATTGTGTCACTTTCCTTAACCTTCTAGAGTCCTTGCGAGCATCAGAAAAAGCCTTTGGTCATAATTCAGGTAGGAGCTGCAGAGTTTTCTTCTTTTAAAACAAATCTGTCAGCAGAGATGTAAAAAGTGAATTTTTAACCTAAATAACTCCACACCTACTTCTCTTTCTGAGTATTTTCATCCAGACATAAGGATGTAGGATTTATTGACAGTGAATAAATTTAGCCTCCCACTGAGCTTCTGTTCCCTGAAAATATGCAGTGTTTGCATCAAAAGCCTGAGTTGCTGTTTTTGCTTAGATCATTAATTACATAAGAAGAATTTAGGCAATGAAGAAAGGAAAAGGATATGGAACCTGGACTTAGGAATAACTAAAGGCATTGGTCAGAAGTTTAAATTATTAGCACTTCTGGTACTATGTGTAGGGGTGATTTATGTAGGTAGTTTATACAACCACAAGAATTAAGTGATAAAGCAGCTTTCTGAAGTACTGTCTGTTCAGCTACAGGATAGTGATTTGCTTATGGTCATGCAATAAGCTTCATTGTGAAATTAACTTGGGTCTCACCGTTCCACCTCTGATGTTTTGTGCTGCTTTTCATGTCATCTTTCTTGAAATGCTAAGTAACAGTATTAAGACTGAAACCCTTAACTGTATCAATCACTTAAAATCTTTTAAGAGACCAAGGCTGCATCCACACTGCAGAAATAATCCAGTTTGACACCACTTTAACTGCCATGGCTCAAAGCTATGGAATTCTGGGAACTGTAGTTTGTTGTGGTACCAGAATTCCCTAGCATTGAGCCATGGCAGTTAAAGTAGTGTCAAATCAGATTATTTCTGCAGTGCGGATACAGCCTCTGAAGACACCTAGTTTAATCGGACAACACTCAACACTTTTAAAACCTGTGGGTTGTTTTCATTTGATCCATACGCATTCAGTTTTATACTGGGAAGGGGTTGTCTCTCCAAAATTAGAGCCTTCAGTGACAAATACTGGTGTTGTCTCATAATTTTACAAGTATGCTCTTTTTCTTCAAAATTATCATTTTACTAATGCAGGTCTTAATAAGTATTAATTTAAATATGTATTTTTGAAGTGAATACAGTGTTTAAAAAAATAGGATTTAAGAGAATTAAGTAGTTAAGCTTGGTATTTAAATATATGCCAATGTATGTATGTGAATGTCTGTGTGTGTATGTGTATAAACACACACACATATGTATGTCCTTTTTCGTCTTCTAGGTTGGCTTTTTCTTGATTCTAGTACATCAATGTTTCTAAATGCTCGATCCAGAGTTTATCGCCTTCCAGATGGCAAAGGAAATAAGAAAAGAAAAGTCTCTGAACAAACAGATGTAACGGAAGAAAATGGTATGAGTTTTTTCCTAATTTATAACATAAAAATGATTACTGTGTGTGCTCGACTATACGTCGACCTTATGTATAAGTTGAGGGCAGATTTCAAGGCCAAAATGATGGATTTTGATAGGACCTGTGGGTGTCGAGGGTTAAAACTTAGGGACATGTAACAAAGGATGTAAAGAAAACAATGCCAAAGAACAAAATTCCAGCAGGCATAACTGTTTGTGCTCATACTAAAGGTTGGATAGATGAGAAAGCAGAGCAGGGTCAGAGCTTCCGAAACAGATTACACTCTTGCCTTTCACTAGGGGATGTTTCCTTTTTTAAAAATAAAGAGTTAAAATACAGTAGTTGCATTGACCCATGGATAAGTCAATTTTTTTAACCTAAATTTCTAGACTCATACATGAGTATATACAGTAATTATAATGTTGCAGAGTGAAAGACACAGGTCCCTGGCTAAAGGAGTTTACAAGGTAATTATACTGCTGTTGCTGTATTTTTTCAGAACATTTTTGAGTAGAAGAAACAAAAAGAGTCTCGGTTCATGTTGTCAATTAATAAAATTATTCTAATTGAGGACTTGATTGTAAATTCTGCAGATCCAAGGTTGGCTTTCTTTTATGAATATGTCCAGGGCAAGTTTTTACTTACTCATAATTTAGTCATCACAACAAACCACAATTAGGGAAACTTAGCAATGGCTTAAATTTTATGGAATATCACAAGTTGACAAACTGTAATGGGATGTTAAACCAGAATGAGAAATTATGTAGATTGAAGTTATTTTTAATTTATGGTTGGTGCTAAGAATCGTTTGA